GGTAGGCAGCTGCGGCCCGGCCGCGCTCCGCCCGCGGGCGGCTGCGTGTGCTGCCTGGCGTGTGTGCGGGGCATGGGCGTGTGCGTGTGTACCTAAGTGCATGCGCGTGTTCTTGGGCGTGAGCAGCCGCACTCCTGGGAGGGAGCTGTGCCGCTGCTGATGCTGGGGGAGGTGGGTGAGGTCTCGGTGCCCGCTTCGCCCTTCGGCGTCAGACCCTGGGGGCTGCACCCGAGCAAGGTAGTGAGGGGAGGCTGCACATCCCGTGCAGGCCAGGAGGTAGGCACGGATGCCTTGCTCAGCCTGTGCTGGGTGTCTGTTAGCACATGGACACAGGTTTAGGGGGAAAGTTCAGAAGTCAAACCGATTCTTTTTATAGTCACTCTCTGTATCAAAGCATCCTGAGTCTTTGTAGAACAACACAGATGATGGACTCAGGCGTGTTGACCCTTAGGCTGCATTAAGCTGCCTAGTTTTTACAGGAGTGAAAGTTGAAGCAGAGGGGCCTAAAATGCCTCTTTGCTCAAATACTTAAAATGTTTCCCAGTCAACTTTCTCTGTTAATAAACCAGAAGAAGGTAAGGCAACCCCAAAATGTAACTGTTTCCAAGGATATGAGAGTAAACCCTAAATAGTAGTTGTAGGAACTGGACATCTGGACAAACCTGCTGTTGTCAACTACATGTGAGTTTTTGTGTCTATTGATTTAGCGGTTGTGAAAAGGTCATTAAAGAATTTCCTATCATACTCCCCCTAGTCAAAACGATCTACTGGAATGGCTCTTAATTGCTTTTATAACACATGGGTATTTTCAGAAGTAAAAGAGTAGCAGTCAAACAGACAGTTCTTCTCAAAAGGAGGATTTCCTACAGCATGTAAACATGAAATAAATCTTTGCTTTATAAGAAAAAAATAGTTAGACCCAGATCAAACGCTTGCTAGGCTTTTTAGAAATATTCTTCCTTTATTCTACCACTGTTCTCGGCAGGTGCGTCTGATGTGGTTGCTTTGTGGGTTGGATCACCTGTTTATTCTAGTTTTGAAAAAGGGTGTCTTTGAAAATGATGCCAGAAAGACAAAATACCCCCACTTCTTTTTATGGGACTTTCTGCTTTAGGAACTGGAAAATTAGTATGATTTACATGCAATTGAGTTTTTAATGCTTCCCCTTTGTAAAGGATTTATTTTCTCTGCTGCTTGGTAATACAAATAAGAAACCTGCCAAAGCTCAATTAAAATTGAAAACATTTTAAAGTATTATATAGTCTAGACAGTCCATCTGAGAGTGAAGAATGGTCCTGAATGAAAAAGAGTGATCATAAATACAGCAAACAGACAAAAAGACATAATCAAAATAAAATACACTGTTTAAAACCACTAACTTAAATTCCAATCTTTTAAAATGTTTTGTGGTTTTGCTGCTGCACAGCAAAATCTTAGGCATGATTTTAGAGCAACTTTTTGAGGCTTTGTTTACATTGTTAACAACTTCCAAAAAAGCCAGTTCACACATTCCCTTTCTTTCATGTTTTATATATACTCTGTGCATATCAATTGGTTAAATATGTTGGCATACCCCTGCCAATTTAAGGCTTCAAATAGTGCCTCATCTCCCAGATACTTTATATTATTAATATATATTACATTTTTGGGCAAATGTAATATAAATAAAGCTGTAATCCAAACATTAGCAAATAAACATCATATTTCATGCACATACAAAGCCTGCAGTGCAGATAGTAAGTTGTATTAAGAGGTGTGGGCCCATATGCTAGATAAGATTGCTGGCAAAGATATTTTTTTTTTTCTCCCGTGGGTAGATTCTGTTATATAAAATTCCCATCTGTACTTTGATTTCCATTCAAATGATCTAATAATGGATGTGTTTTTTTAAGATAATGCTATAGAGAGAGTAAAGTATATTTTCAAGTAATTCAAACCTATCTTCCAATGTTTGAGCAGGCAGTTCAGCAAATAGTGTGTAATCATTTTAGATTGCAGCTGCATAGTACCGAGGGCTTTAGCTTCAGCGCCAAATAAAATCCTTTCATATTCAACATAAAAAAAAAAGAAAGGTTTCTTAAATGATGTAGGATTCTTGTTCCTAGATGAGACTTCTCAGACTCTCAGACTGCTTCCCTGTGCATCTTGTATACATTTCCATGCAATATTTGAAGTTTCAGGAAAAAAAAGTAGACTATGTTTACTATACTTTGTACATTTTTCACATTTTGGATGTTTTTACTGATTCTTGTTGCAAATTGAGTTAAAGCAATCTCTTTTTTTTTTCTTTTTCTTCTTTCTTTGGATATATATTCAGGTATCCTTGAATTCATCAGTGTGGCAGTGGGACTGGTCAGTATTAGAGGTGTTGACAGTGGCCTTTACCTTGGAATGAATGAGAAGGGAGAACTCTATGGCTCTGTAAGTACCCCTTTCATGTCAGCTCATATATGTTGAGGTTTTGTTTAACTTCTTAGCACTATGCAAAGCCTTCAAGTAGTTAGCTGAGGTATTATTAGCTTTCAAAACACTGACATCTTCTCCTGATGAAATGTAGAATACATTTTTGAAGTATATGGTATAGCCCTGGATACTAAAGATGTAATGGGAAAAGTTTCTGTCCTAGATGAAGAGAACTGAAAGAAATCATTCCTCTTAAATTATGACAAAAATAGCTAGCTAAACTAGCTATCCAAATAGCATTTAAATTGCCTGCTATCTGATTTTCTTTTTATCGATACTGCAAATGTATTACCAGCATACTTTATCATCAGAAACATTGAATGCAACTGGACAAAAATTTAAAAGAATGGTTATGGAACAAATAAACAACAATTAATATAGTACCCTGATTTACTTCAGGTATAGCTTAATGTTCTTTCATACAGCAGCAGGTGTAACTTCCAGGTCCCGGCTTTTTAACATAAAATACTTCATCTGAATGCTGGGAAAAATAAGATAATGCCATATGTCGCAGTTAGGTACCACTATTGTTTGAAAATATGGAATGATGCAAAAGTACTGGCAGCATCTGTAGGTCCCAATTGGAATATTTGTGTTTAGGACTGAAGATAATATTCTACTCATTATAGTTGATTCATATCTGTTGAGTAACTTCAATATATGACCATAAAAATATAGTATTTGATTTTTCCAATACTATCCAGGTAATAACAGATACCCCTAGAGAGAGCTCTATGTTAATATAGTTCCTGTAGGCCAGGTGAATTTTAGTTAAATGATAAATAAGAAATATCTTCCTAGGGAGAATGTTATCTAATTTGAGTTTAAATCCAAAACTGTACACGTGAAGGGCAGGTTTTCAAAGGAATAAATATTAAATAGGCTTCTGAACTCCACATCAGGTCTACATATTCTTCCTGAGTTTGACTTGTTGACAGTTAAATAACAGTAAGGCTGCACAAAGCCTAAAAGGTTTTGTTTGTTTTTATAATAATTTTCATGTGTGTTCAGATACCTAGCAACTGCTTAACTTTTTTGTTTGTTTGTTTGTTTTTTCCCCCCTGTTTCTTTGTCTAGGAGAAACTAACTTCTGAATGCATCTTCAGGGAACAGTTTGAAGAAAACTGGTACAACACTTACTCGTCCAATGTGTACAAACATGGAGATTCAGGAAGACGATACTTTGTAGCACTTAACAAAGATGGTACTCCCAGAGATGGGGCAAGGTCCAAAAGACACCAGAAATTCACACATTTCTTGCCCCGGCCTGTGGATCCTGAAAGAGTTCCAGAACTGTACAAAGATGTGTTAGGATACAGCTGAGGAAGGAGGCAACTTTGGAAAAAAACCCATAGTGGAGCTGTTGCCCCAACTTCCGTGGCAATACCAGCATGAGGAACCTGCAGAGGTCTAGGGTGCTGGGTTGGAAGAAGCCACTTTGTGATGGGGAAGTGTCAGTTTTCTAATCTTTGGATTTAGGAGAAAAAGCTTTAAAGCTCAAGAGTGGACCAGTCTCCTTGAAACTTGCTGAACTGTGTGGTAGCCAATAACCAGAGAGGAGTTGGAGTGTGACTTTAGAAAGTAACAAACTTTTGACAGGTTTGTCTTGATTCCCTATGGTCCATAAATTGGCAAAGGACTACTTACATCATATGGATGAGACAACAGCTGAAAGAAATAGACAGAAATGGACTGTAAAAAAGTAATAAAACCTGAGAACTGTGTATGAAGTTTTAGTGGCTCTACTATCGTGATGGACGTTAGATGTTGATGCATCATAGTTAGAGCTGGAACTTTTATTCAGGATGGACCTATTTATACATCTCCAGATAGCATATATTTATTTTATATATTTATTTATTAAAGAGTTTATTTTTTACTGGGATATGAAGAGGATACAAGCCCTTAACCCCAATAAGAAATAATTTACAGTGCCAATATTTACTATGTGTAATGTCATGGCATGGAAATGACATTACATTGCAATGCATCCAAACCCTGAATATTCATATTTCACTGTTTCTCTGCTACAGATAAGGTTATATTTTATGCACATACCATTGCCTTGTGGTGACTGTCCTTATTTCGGAATTATTTTATTTTATTTTTTTTTTACCTATGAGAGTGCCTTACAAATCTGTATTGAATTCAAATGCACATTTAAAAAGGGAATTAAAAAAATATTTCACTTCATTTGGTTTATTGTCATTTTTAAATGGTCTCTTAGAACACTGTGTATAATGTTTTAAACCCGCAATGTTTGAGAAGAATGTATCACAGTTACCTTGAAAGAAAAAAGCAGCTCTTGAAATCTTGTTTCAAGTAACAGCATGCTTGATGTTTGTTTTTGTTTGTTTGTTTGTTTGTTTTTTCCAAATAGTTCCTAACACTGTTACTACATACAAATAACTATTCTCTGTATTACTTAAAATTCTAATATAGAATTCTCATCACTATTAAGATATTTTAATTACATTTCCTATAATTTTGTTTAAGGGGAAACAGTATCAGAGTAAGAAGTCTGTGATACAGCTGAGCAAAGAGCTTCTGGGAGTGAAGGTTGTTTGTCCACTGAGTACAGAGGAGCCTAAGGAGACTTCTTAATTCCTCCTTTAGGCAATAATCTCAGCATAAATTTTTGTGTGAAGACCATCAGGATAAAGATGACCATAAAGATGAGCTGTGTCAGGATGCTAGTTACAGCTATACAACAGGTAGATTGCAGTAATTTACACTAATTCTAATTCAGGACTGTCAGTGATGAAGCACAAACTCTTCAGCATATTGGCTAAAGGGAAAGTCTCTGCTTTTTAAGAATACCAAGGCTTTGTGACAGGCCCTATGTGTTTTAGACTTAAACCTGCTGAAGCTTGCTGTCAGCTGACTGCCACCTCCCTAGGAAAAGTCTGTCCAGGAAAAGGACTGCAGGAAAGGCAGTCCGGGAGAGGGCAGCAATATTTATATTCTACCAGAGGTGGTTTCAGGTGTCAATGCTCCCAGTGGGCCCTGTGTCAAGGTGCATTTTTGTGGAAGCATACATGGTTCAAGTACTGCACGTGTGTAATTTCTGTCAAATCAAGGTATTAACAAAAAGCATTTTCCAGTTAATAACAGACTTGCTAGAGCCAATACTGTATCAGAACTTCCTCCAGACTATAATGAGCTGCAGATCAGCATAGATGACTGATGGACTGTGAACAAAATTAAATTTGCTGTCTGCCAAATAGAAATTGAAAGGAGATACAGAAAAAGGTGTTTCAGCTTTTTTTTTTTGGCTAGCAAAGTATAACTTGCTAAGGTTATACAATTTTCTGAAAAATGGGCAGTGGAAGATCTACAATGCACTGAACATAGTTCAGGAAAACAGTGTTGTAATGAACTTCAATTCACTATAAAATAAAGATTTTATTGGTGACATTGTGTCACATTAGTAATAGCTCAATAACTGAAGACAAAGTATATGCTTTAAATATATATATATATATAAATCTTCTGCATGTTAAAAAGTAATTTATTGTATGTAAGTTGTGCAGAAAAACAGTGGCTGCTGCTTGGGACATGCATTACTGGCAAAACCCCTCTGTGTTTAAATCATATCAATACAATACTTATTTCTTTTTCTATTAGCAGTCTACTGTTACACCAGCTACCTCAAAAGTACTTTAAGATGGCAAGGACTGTAATCTTCCTTGGTATTATTATTGTGCGTCCATTTTCACAGATAATGATACAATCCGGAACAATAACTGAGGATAACTTTAGGTGGTGAATAATCAGCTGAAACTTCTGGATTCAAACACCTAAACAATATAGAGATGAAGAAGAAGAGGAGTATATGCTTTGCATTTTCTTACCCCATTCCCATCTTAGATAGTGCCAATAACCCTTGAACAAAACATAATGGAACAGGTACGGTGGTGATGAATGACTGTACAAAACCTTAAGAGCATTGAAAATCTGTCAAAAGCTCCTTTTTTAGTTCTGGTGTACTGCCACTGAAGAAAGAGATTATGTTTTCCCATTTCATTCTGCTTGTACCCTTTATTTCCTCTCTGTTACTTTCTGTCCATCATGATCTTCAGATGCAGTTAATGTTTTTCTAGTTGGAAAATGGTGGTTGCAAAAGCAACATCTCCAAATAGCTATTTTCATATGTCATTAGACCAATAATTTTAGTTCAGTGTTTGTTTTTGTTGGGGTTTTTTCTGTGGTTTTTGCTACCACTTCTGAAAGCCCAGCTAGATAGAGAGGGAGAGGTTGGTTTTGTTTAACCAGTATAATTAATGATCTAGTTTGTATCTCTTTACATTTGCATAACCCTATCAATCTGAAAGTTGTGGGCTGCTCTAATGGTATGAATAGGGTAATCTTAAGGAGGTGACATTGTTCAGACTTCAGGTAAAACCTCTGAAGGCAGAGAAAGTGTCACATCGTGAGATAAATCTCTGCATGATTGGATGCCCTGTTTCTGCCTTCCCTTTTTGTTCCAATGTAAGGAGAATCATTCAAGGTAGTTATGCAGTTTGCATAGCACATACAGCTCCACTTTTTGCTTCCCACTGATTCCGCTAGTAGCTGTAAAACTTGGCCCTTTGATCTTAGCTGGATGCAAATGGAATGCTCCATTACAATTCAGTATTTCTTCACATATTTTCTTTTCTGCTGCTCTCTTTTCCACGTTGCATTGCAAACAATATACAAGCCATACAGAAGATTTCCTGAAATGCAGGAATAACCTTGACTTCTGAGCATATTTGAAGTGAAATTGTTACTTTGAATAATCTTGGAGCTCTGGGTCAGAATGCAGAAGGTAGAATTTTTAACAGCCTTCTGTGGTAGTCTTCTAGCTGTGATAATTTACTATCTGACATGTGAGAGTCATGTAGCAAGTATATGTATAGCAAAAGAAAGCTATTTTTTGCAATAGCTTTCATTTATAGCTATTTTCATTTCTTGATATGTGTTGTTAACTCTCTTTTCATAGCCATCTAATCTTGCTTCAGTAACTGTGAAGTTTTACAGAGGTCTTTACCACCAGTTATATGAGCTATGCATGTGGTTATTATTATTTTTTTTATCATATGTGTACCACTGTGCTATGGTTCTAGTTCTATTATTACAAACCATTATCTGTACAACAAAGAACTGAACAGAAGTAAAGCAGTTTTATATGGCATGTACACATCTTCACTATTGCCTTTATGTACTGTACCAAGGTTGTGGGATAAATACTGAGGACACTGTGGTAAAATGCTTGTTTTTCTTTTCTTGCTCCATACTGCATGGAGATGCTGTCAGGAAGGCAGCCTTTTGGAAATACCTCCATTTGCTCCTTTTGCTTTTTATGTGAGGAAAAGCTATTGACTTCACTGCTGTTAAATTCTCTGCAATTATTTGGTGTTTTTTTGAGTAGCGCAACCATTTGAAGACTCAAGTTATATGAATGTAACAACAGCTGCATGAGATCAGCCCATGCTGTATCTCCACTGCATGGGGAAGAAAGTATGAATAAGACAGGCATATATTCTGGGAATTCGTTGTAGAACCCCAGCTAGGATTAGGACCTGAATCAATTATATTCTGGGTAATTTCCTTTTATGAGACAGACAAGTGAACTAAACCTTTCACAATGTTGAAGAACATGGTGGTGGGATTGTACACCTCCTGGAGGTCTGCATCAACCTGTGCTTTATTAGACATTTTTCCTGAAATTATTTCCTTTGCAGTAGCGTACTCAGCTATTGGGGTGAAATCTCTGACGTTTTTGGATTTGGTGTCAGTGTACATCTGGATATGCATGGACTCACTTCAGTACAAGGCAATAAATATATTGCTAGAGAAAGTAAACATTCTGAAGTTGTTAAAACCATCAAAATATTAATCAGGAAAGTTTGGTTTATGGCATTAGTTCCAACTAATTTTTTGATACACAGATTTGCAGAAGTCTTGGCAATGCTGTTTGGGTTCTTTACAATCAGATTCATGGGCAGAAAATCAGGAAAGTATAAAAGCTTCTGAGGTGGAACATACTTAACCATGTCATCTTTATGAATATGTTGTGTACAAATGGGGAGAAGAAAAAAAAAACAAGCAGGGACGAGGTCAAACAGTTACTTCTATTGCCAGTTGGAGAGATATTAAGTTTCAAACAGAAATTGGTTGGCAGCTTGCCAAAATAACTATTTCATCTGCAACATGATCAGACACTGGAACCACTTTGGAAGTTCAGGAAAAAGAGAAAATACTGAATTAAAGCAGTGGTGACAGTAGCCCTCGGTATTTTGAACATATCCAAAATGCTGTTTGTATTGTTCTCTTACTAG